TTTTTTTTTTAGCAATTTTGTACCTAAAGCAGACGGAGAGAACATTCAAAACAAGACGAACATAAAGCTTAAACTATCCTTATTAAACTACAAGAAACCAAACCGGTTTATAAAATCTTGCCCTTGCCATGCGTAACTTGCCACAGATATTTAAATGCTAAAACAGTGAAACCCAAATAGGCACTGGGGCATTTGTTAGCAAATACATATCGCCGCTTGGATAAATTACCGCGATTGAAATTAGGAATTCCAGGAGTCCCAGAGAGTGTTACCAGTTCACTAATTTCTAAAACTATTTGGTTTTTATTGTTTAGTATTAATTATTTTTGAGTTTATGTAGGGGTTTCTTTAGTATAATTTTTTTGTATGTTACATTTGGCAACAATTTTGCAATTTGTCCAAATTTTCATATGTGAACGACATTTATGAATCCGATTAACGATGTGTAAGTAAACTAAAAGCTATTTGTAAAATTCGCTGTATGCGATTAGACAATTTCATGTGTGCAATATTTATTACATATTTTGAAATCGTAAAAAATATATTCGAAAATCAAATTTGCATATAATAATTTTACATGAACGTAAGACGGAATGCATTAAGAAATTATTTACACTAACTGCATTTCCTTAGTCATTACAATAAAATTTTGTTGTACTTTTTTCTAGAATTTACTGTGTTACTAACCTTTACCAAAGACGTAGAATGAATCAAAGATGATTATGATGTAGCCTTTAAACTTCCGAAAAACTATATGTATTAGAAAATATATTAAAAGCTATTTAATCAAAAGCGTAGGATTTAAATGTTATGAAAGATAACAATAAAAACTAAGTGAATTGTTTGTACGTTTTTGATAAAAAAAAAATATTGAAATGTACTTGCTCTAATTCTTAAGTTAGCCATGAGTCTTTTAAGTAACTAATACTAAGTCATCATGATCCAGTGTGCAAGGTTTTGCAATAATTGTATGTATGTAGATATAATTAAAATTTAATTGAAAAAAAGCAGATTAATAAAAATTGAAGTGAATAATAAAATTTTTTAATATTGACATAGTCAAAAATTCA